TTTGCAATGTGAAAGCTGCATTCTCAACAAAAAAATTCCAGCTCCTGAACGACTACACCAACACCAGGGAAGAGTTGCGTGACCTGAGTGACACCACCACCGATAGCAAGAGCGACGAAGATGAGGAACAACGGTTAGAACAGCAAAAAATACTCTTCAAACAATTCTGGAGAATATTTAACATCAAGAAAGCTGTGGACATCTTGGTGGAGTCATGGGATCAGCTGTCTATTGCTACAATTCGTCACGCATGGAGACATGTGTTGCATGGAATACCAGGTGAGAGGAGGAGTCAATCTGTGACTGGTGAGGTTCAGAATGTTGCAGTAGCAGTGGACCTTGCCAGAGAAGCTGCGCAGACTGTTACAGTTCCAGGCTTCTCCGAGACCACCAACGACGACATCCTGGAGGTGATCAGAAATCCTGAAGTGACTGCCGACGAGATGTTGGAAGAAGAACACGTCAGTGAAGAGGAGGAAGAAGGTGCGTCAGTCTCCGAAGAACACAGTTTAAGTCATAGTGATATTAAGTGTGCCATGGAGTTTGCAGAGAAAATTAAGTCCGTCCTTTCCCGCGACAATGACGATGACCGCTATGAAGTCTTCCATAACCGGCTGGTGCAGGCTATGGAGCCGTACATCACGGTGTATCACGACAACATCAACGCCAGCCGTCAGCAAAGCATAACAGATTTCTTCACCCGCGACCCACCACAGCCAGCCCAAGCCAGTGATAGTGGCAGTGAAGTTGACTTTGAGGGATTTGTCAGGGAAGCCCTGACAACTATAAGTGACAGTGATGATGATTCACCTAGTAATGGTGATTCACCTGAGGGCCAGTAATCTGCCCTCTGCCTCGGAACCAGCCTCCATCCCCGTATGCCGACCCATCTCTTCTACTTCCGTAAGTGTTCCACAAAATTTTTAGTTTTTTAACCTATTCTTTATTTTTCCTATGTTAACCTTTATCTTTCCTAACCTAACCTCTTCTATATTACTTGTTTTTTCATACCATCATAAAGTTAAGATAAAATTTTTACTACAACATAGTTGTGTGTCGTCAAAAAGTGGAGTTTGGGGATCGGCCTGGACTCCATTTCAATTAATCCCATATGTTATGTTGTTCACTTTACGGGTTCCTCACTTTACGCGGGACCCTCCGGGTTACATTAACCGCGTAATATGAGGACCAACTGTATATATATATATATATATATATATATATATATATATATATATATATATATATATATATATATATATATATATATATATATATATATATATATATATATATATATATATATATATATATATATATATATATATATATATATATATATATATATATATATATATATATATATATATATATATATATATATATATATATTAATAATAACACAGTATTACTTAACGCTGGGTTTCAATTTAATCTTTTATCATACACGGTGCCTCGGCCAGAGTTGACCTTTCACTTAATGGATTTTTCCATTACATACTGTGGAGTGTCCGCCCGAGACGCTATTTTTAGATTTGCCCCACCCGCCACCCTGCTCGACTGTCTGTTTAGCTCTTATAAAATTCATAAATTACCCGCCAGAATATAATTTACATTGCTGGAATTTTATAATTTGGTGATCATTTTGAATATAAACATCATATATTTTGTATTAGACATACAAATTTTAGATAAAAAATTTTCTCAGAGTAACTATGTTATCTTTTGTGCAAAATATATGACATTTATATTCAAAATATTCCTGGTCTTACAAGGAATCCAGCAATGTCAATTATATTATCCTAACTTTAGTTTGAGGTATTATTTATTAAAATTTAGTGGTTATCCCACACATCTCCTTGGGACGGTTGGTGGGGGGTGGGGAGGAGGGAGGGACCGACCGACCATCTGTTACCCTGTGAAGAATTATTTTTTTTTTTATTACCTGAAGATATTTGTTTTAGCTCATAAAATTCATACAAATTACCCGGTCTGAATATAATTTACATTGCTGGAATTCTTATAATTTGATGATCATTTTGAATATAAACATCATATATTTTGCATTAGACATACAAATTTTAGATAAAAAATTTTCTGAGTAAATATGTTATCTTTTGTGCAAAATATATGACATTTATATTCAAAATATTCCTGGTCTTACAAGGAATCCAGCAATGTCAATTATATTATCCTAACTTTAATCTGAGGTATTATTTAATACAAAATGTTAAAATATATTTTTTTCACCCCACATCTCTTGAAGGGAGGATTGGTGGGGGGTGAGGGTTGGGACTGACCGCGCGGTTGGAGGAGGGGGGAGGCAAGGTGGGGTACTTTGATTGACAGATAGTGTCGTGAAGATTATTTTTTTTTTATTAACTGAAGATATTTGTTTTAGCTCATAAAATTCATACAAATTACCCGGTCAGAATATAATTTATATTGCTGGAATTCTTATAATTTGGTGATCATTTTGAATATAAACATCATATATTTTGCATTAAACATACAAATTTTAGATAAAAAATTTTCTCTAGGTAACTATGTTATCTTTTGTGCAAAATATATGACATTTATATTCAAAATATTCCTGGTCTTACAAGGAATCCAGCAATGTCAATTGTATTATCCTAACTTTAGTTTGAGGTATTATTTATTAAAATTTAGTGGTTTTCCCCCAAAAATTTCTCTGAGAGGGAAGAGCCGGCAGTGCAGTGTGAGAGTGGGAGGGAGTTGAGTCCATTATTTGAATGGACATTAACTTGGCGACTGTATTTCTCTATTTTTCTTAAGTATTAATTGTGTGCATGTACCATCATAAAATTAAGATGTTATTTTTACTACAACATAGGTATGTGCCTTCAAAAAGTGGAGTTTGGGGGTCGGGCCGGTTTCTATTGGAATTAATCCCATATGTTCTGGTGTTCACTTAACGCGGATTTCACTTAACGCGGGACCCTCTGGGTTCAATTGACCGCGTTAAGTGGGGTACAACTGTGTGTGTGTATATATATATATATATATATATATATATATATATATATATATATATATATATATATATATATATATATATATATATATATATATATATATATATATATATATATATATATATATATATAAAAGCTAGACCCCGACTTACGACTGCTTCGACTTACGACCGTCGGGACTTACGACATAGATAAAAAAAAAAAATTCAAATGACACACGCATTTTCTATACCGAAACGTTTCCAGTTAATGTAGTCTCCATGTATAATTAGAAAATTATGGGGGCCCCATGTGCATTCAGCTGAGTACATTAAAGGTTAAGTGCTCAGTCACACTGTATCCATTCCTTATTATTTATTACTTTCACTGTACTGTATCCATTCATCATTATTCATTACTTTTACTGTACTGTATTTCATTGTAGATTTTTTTTTATCTATGTCGGACTTACGACCTGGATTTGGGTCCCTAACACCGTCGTAAGTCGGGGTCTAGGTGTAGTTGATTGTGTGGAATCCTTTATCTTGTCCTTGAATTAATCTTTACCTTATTTTTATAACTACTGTGAATATATATATATACAGTACTGTATATATATATATATATATATATATATATATATATATATATATATATATATATATATATATATATATATATATATATATATATATATATATATATATATATATATACACATACACATACACAGTGGCCCCTCGGTTAACGAACTCAATCCGTTCCAGAAGGTCGTTCGTTAACCGAAACGTCGTTAACGAAAGCGTTCCGTTAACTTGACCATTGTTTCAATGGGTTTTTGGGTAATTGGTTCCAGCTCACCGAAAATTTCCTAAATTCAACAAAAATGGTAGAAAAGTTCACTTACTTTGAGGTGTGTATGTAGAAGGCTCCTGGATGATGATGATGATGATTTAGAATGGGGGTGGAGGAGAAGGAAGAAGAGAAGGCATTGGGGTGGAAGAGAAGTCACCCCATGGTGCCATTTCACCCATAAAATTTTAGCTCTCTGGTTTAATTCAAGATTATTTTCTTTAAATCAACGCTGCACTACATTATATATTGTCAATATATAAAATATATTTCAAAATGACCAATAATTTGCTTGGAAACACAGAAAAAAAGCGTTTAGTTGAAGAGAGTCTCAAGCAAGATGTTACCTCCAGTGAAAACAGAGAGAGACTGACGCCTGTTTGCTGTGTTAAGAGGCTGGATGCCGCCCATTAAACTAGTCACTTTACCTTCAATTTTGTTCAATAATTGTTAAAATGACTAAAAAATTGAATATTAAACTTTTAAAATTATTGAATAGTATAAACTTCTTGATATTTACAAAAATAGTAAGGAATTTAAGCCCTAGAACCGATTAATGTATTGGCGGACTGATACTAAAGCTGGTTGCCCGGTCAGTGCAAGCGAAAACATGTTGAGGTCGGTTCATAAGAAGTTCGTTAAGCGAATTTTTTTTCGTTAACCGAATTGAAGATCCTTATGGAAGGCAGTTCGTTAATCGAAATTACGTTAACCGAGGTGTTCGTTAAACGAGGGGTCACTGTATATATATATATATATATATATATATATATATATATATATATATATATATATATATATATATATATATATATATATATATATATATATATATATATATATATACAAAAATTAAATTCACTTGTAACCCATTAATGGCACAATAGTTTCAGCTGGGCAAAAGTAATTTCTTAATCTTTTAACACCCAAAAGAAGATAATGTATTTTACAACCAGCTCCAACTATCACTATGTTAGTCAAGAGAAATTCAAAAGATCCACTTACAAACAACTTTTTCATTCAAGGCAATGCAATGATACATTGATTTTCATTAAATTTGAGGGATATTTTTTTCAAAATGAAAGTATGGAACCTTTATACCGAAAGCAACAGTGCTATTGCATGTTTAATGGACTTTTTTTTTTACAAAATAATAGCAATTTATTCACTAACCATAAGGTTTCCTCATGTCCCCAGTCCCAATTTGTGCGGAAATATTTCCATTTGCATGATATAACGTTATGCAGTCTTTGTCTTTGACGGCCACACGACCATCCTCAAGCTCAACGACTGCAGATGGGCGATGGAGGATGATAGTGGGTTCAAAAGTTTTAACAAATTGCCCATCTTTACTGAGCAAAACCACACGGTCATTGAAAGTGTCTGCCACCACTATTTCTCCACTGAAACCAAGAGAAAATAAATGTCGGGATAAGGGGGTCTTGGTACAATATGGACACTAGATAACTAAGAAGCTTGAAGAGTCTGCATAAAAGTATTAAATCTGCGATGTGGGATATTTTAAATGTTTGTTTATGATTTACTGTACATCATTTACCAAGTTTAAATACTAAAGGTAGTAATGCCAATAAATACAAACAAACAATTACATACAAATCTTAGGCAGTAACACAGGTACACTCACGAGCCATAGTGTCGATGCTTCATACCAAATGTCCCTCCCCCCTCTAACCCCCCCACCCATTGCTTAGTGGTGCAATGTGGTAGCTCAAAGCTTCGCTGTATTGTACGAATAGCAGTTTATGATGTAATATTGTAGAGAACATATGCACGATACAGGTTTTTTTAGTGACTTCACAAAACTTTATTTACCATCACTATACTTAACATCACTATACAAGAGGGACCGTTCAGTTTGCAGCCCTGACTACGACTTCCCTTGAGCCGGGCGTAGGGGTAAAGGGTGCATTGAAACTATGGCGCTTGAGTGTACATACCTTCCATTTTGGCTTCTACTGATGCAAACAAAAGTTATCATTCAAATTTACTTGTATTTTAATGCCATGCCTTGGAATATTACAATATTTTGCATCTTTTGGAATCAAGGTAATACAATGAAATAGATAATTACAGTAAAGTACAGTATACTGTATATCTTACAATCTACAAAACTGTGAAGTACCAGGACAGAAAATCTGTATTGTAGTTCAGATTAGTGATCACAATTACTCTACATTTGAAGGGTTAGTTAATATAAGTATTCTAAAATTTTAAGGGACTTTAACTTTATACAAAAAAATTTAAGATAAAATGTTCAGGCAAAATCTAACCATGTGCAGTTCAGTGTTGTGTCTAATGATGGATTAAATATGATAGCAAACTCAGTAGTGTACCACAGATGAATACAGTACAGTACAGCAATATTTACCTGGTAAGCTGAACAATACCAATGGGTTTGTGAAAGTGATTTGATTCTTGAAGAAGAATCTTGCAATTTAAAGTGGCTTTTTTATTATAGACACCGTAATTCAGGCCAGTGCTGTCCTCAGGCAAACCTTTGAAAAGAAATATACTTTATGGTCACTGAATATTCAAAGAAATCTCTGCAAACTTTCTAACATAAATTATTAAAAAAAAATTAATAAAAAATTATTTGTCAGAGCCTATGAGAAGAGAATACCCTGTATTAAGAAACACTCTTGCTGCTGGTAAGACAATACCTTCGTTTAACACTCCTTTTAATATTATAATATATTATTTAAAACCCCTTTCACTGCTTACCAACTTCCACCACCGGTTACCAGCAGATGCAGTAGATATATCACAAATATTGTCAAATTACCACTAGCTGTCCCGCCAGTCTCCAGTAATTTCCCAACGATCAGTATCAGTGTAAAGAAGTGATGTCATGAAGCTTCGCAACTACAACCGCAGAACAATCGCATAAATTATCACAACCGAAACAACCACATGAACCCACACGGTTGTCGTGGTTGTGAAACAATCACAAACGAGGTTTGAGAGCTGAGAAATTCATTGGGCAGTGGGGCCCTCTTAACCTTTATGTACACTCGCACCAAGGTTGGTAAGTGTATCCTCATAACCCCCTCCACTAGGTGATGCCATATGGCTGAGAATCAGTTTCCTCTTTTTGGATTGTTGCTTTGTGTCAACTGAATGATGAGCGAGGGTTTGGTCTCGGTGAACGTGGGTATAAAACAGAGGCAATATGAAGCAGCAGAGATCTACACGTGCCGGTTGACATGGAAACCTCAGAGGGAACACGAGGAGCTATTATTGCCCTTCATAACGAAGGGTTCGGTGTCAGATTATCCAGCGGGTTGGTGTCCACAGGAACACCGCTGCACAATGGATTCTGCGATACCTCGAAACTGGTGCTACAGACGACAGGTCTCGGAGCAGCCATCCACGCTGCACCACCCCTCAGGACGACCAGGTTGAGTGGTTTATTTGGTAGCATAAATTAATGTGGCAATATTCACGAGTATCACAAATAATTTTGTTAACAGGGAGCTCCACATATTTCATACTGTCTATTTAGTACTCCCCGACCTTATTTATAACGGTTTGTTTCACTTGACCAGGGCTGCCAACATACGGCTGGAACAACTCGCCTTTCCCAATACCTATCGTCACTGGTCTCAAATTGTTCACACTACAGTATGCACCGATACTTTTTGTTGCGAGTGTACAATAGGCTACAATAATAAATAGAGTGAACAATGTTTTTAGATCTTTACAGTGATAAACCTTGAGTTACTTGCTTAATTACAGGTGAACATTTGTGACCTTTTTCACATATGTAGTGTAAAAGTAGTAGTAGTAGTAGACAATATGATGAGTACAAACCTCTTGTTTTTCTCCATTAAAAAGCCATAATTTGGGGGGCAAAACATGACTGTACTTTAATGTACAAATTGTACTCAAATGTACTAATTTAACTATAGTACTAAAAAAATTTATATCTAGTGCAAACTTTGGGATGTTTATACTCAAATTAATCGCCATCTTGTAAGAATTCCAGCAATGCAAGTCAAGTCAGTGACATTTTATAAGAGAAAAACAAGCTCTATATGATACGGGCATGAATAGAGCTGTGTTACAGCTCGTAGGTGCTGTAGTTATTTATGTAAAAACCACTGTACAAGTACAATATTGTTCAAACAGGGCTGTACTGTAATAATTGTACATGACTGTAATCATGTCTTAACACTTGTGATGGAGGTTGGGTGGGAGATTATTGGGTCATGATACTAACCTGACCTGAAGCAATGTCAGGTCACCCATTGTTGGATGTGGGATTAGTGGGTCTTAAGATTTGTAGATGTCTTGAATGACATTATTTTTACCTATGAGGTATATACATAGTACTACTGTACTGTTTTGTATATGATGGGTACAGGTATTAATAAGCACAAATTATTACAGCAATGTATTTTTACTAATTACTTTTATCCTCTTCACCACTGATCGGCTTGTTAGCAGCTTGGGTGATCGGTCATGTCTCTGATTACTTTTCCTTTTCTTTTATCCTCGTCACCAAAAGATCGGCTCGTTAGCCGCTTGGGCGATCGATCACGTCTCTGTTACGCACTGTTGGCAAGTACAAATAAACAATATTGTATCATGAATGCGACAGTACGGTAGACAAACAGTGAGGCGACCCTTTGGGGAGTGGGAGCAGCGCGATCACATTTACCCCCCAATGGACCCTTCTGCCTCTTCCTCCCGACCTCACAGCATTCATTATAATCTTTATTTGTGTTAAAGAGATGAATTTTATACCATAATGATCCTCAATGAAACGTTTTCAATATGATATGCTTAAATGACAAGCCGAATAATGAGGTAAAAATAAGTATTTTACTGAATATGAAGGGTACTGATATTAAGCAGCTCAAATTATTACAGTTTCTATCCCCAAGTCTCTACCAAACAGGGAGGTATTGTCTAATGGCAGACCCTGCTGCAGTATGGAATCACAAAAATTGTGATCAAGTCCCAGGTTGCTGATCTTACTTTCTACCTCATTTACACAAAATTGCAGGTCTCAATTATTTCTCTTACTATTGACAACACAACATAAATACTGCATATCATTTCTATGTCTTGATTTATTTTTTTTCGTTTTTTGTATTTAAGGTTATTATTATTATTGCTTTTTTACTTTTACTTGATAGCTGCGGGGGCCGTCGGTCACATCTATACCCCGATTTACGCGGTCAATTAAACCCACGGAGGCCCGCGTAAAACGGGAAACGCATAAATGGAACAACAGAACATATGGGATTAATTGAAATAGAGACTGGGCCGACCCCCAAACTCCACTTTTTCAGACACAATACCTACGTTGTAGTAAAAATAACATCTTAATTTTATGATGGTATGCACACACAATTAATAATTAAGAGAAATATCAATAATATTAGGTTTTTTAACACTTACATTAGTAGAAAAGATGGCTGGGCACACGGGGATGGGGGTTGGTTCCGAAAAAGAGGGTAGATTATTGGCCCTCACCTGTATCACTTGTATCAATTGTATCACTATCCACCACAGAGGCTTGCAGGGCCTCTTTGTCAAACCCCTCAAAGTCCATATAAGTCCATATCCTCACTATCACTGACTTGGGCCGGCTGTGGTGGGTGGCGGGTGAAGAACTCGGTAATGTTTTGATGACTGGGCGACCCTGTGCGCACCCTACCCGCGCCGCTTCCCGCGTATATGAGTAGATGCACCGCGTAAAGTGGGAATTCCGGTTCTGGCGTTTGGCGGGGTACCACGTAAATGTGGAAATGCGTTAACGAGAACCGCGTAAAGCTTTCAGATGCTGTTCTGATATTGTACTTGCGCTTTTTTACTTTTACTTTTACTTTTATCCTCTTCGCCACTGATAGACTCGTCAGCCGCTTGGGCGATCGGTCACGTCTCTCATTACTTTTCCTTTTCATTTATCCTCTTCACCAAAAGATCGGCTCGCTAGCCGCCCGAGCGATCGGTCACGTCTCTGTCACGCACTGTTGGCAAATACTGGGCATGCACCGGCTCCTGAATGTACCTGAACCCACTCCAGTGTTGGTCAAGTCTTGTCTTGAAAGAGCTCGCACTCGGTGCCGTCACAACACTCTCTGGTTGATTGTTCCGAGAGTTTACAACCCTCACTCCGAAAAAGTTTGCCCTCACAGCTTTCTGGACTTGCAGCTTCTTCAATCTTGAGCTGTGACCCCTTGTGGGGCAAACGTCCGACAGCTCCAAGTAAGGACACTCGACTGAGTAGTGCCCCCTGAGATGCTTATACACCTCAACTAGGTCACCCCTTGCCCGTCTGTAATATAAGCTAGGCAAGTTCAGGAACTCCAATCTCTCAGGGTAGCTGAGGTGCCGAAGTGCAGGCACCAGTCTGGTGGCCCTCCTTTGAACATTTTCAACCAACTGACAGTCCCTAGCATATCTCAGGGACCAGACAGGGTGCTGTTTAATTCGGAGTTGCAATGATTTCCCAGTCTGTCCTACATAATTTCCATTACAGTTGCTACATGGAATGCAGTAAGCACTTCCATTTACATTCAAGGTTGGGCTATTCTTGATTAATATATTGGTAATAGTAGTGCCATACTTAAAAACAACATTAATATTTAATAATTTAAGGGACTGAACTAACGGGACAAATTCATTGCGATAAGGCAGTCAAAATATTCTTAAACGATCAGCTCGTTAGCCGCCCGGGTGATCGGTCACGTCTCTGTTACGCACTGTTGGCACGTACTAGGCATGCACCAGCTCCTGAATGTACCTGAACCCGCTCCAGTGTTGGTCAAGTCTTTTTTTGAAAGAGCTCGCACTCGGTGCCGTCACAACACTTTCTGGTAGATTGTTCCAAGAGTTCACAACTCTCACTCCGAAAAAGTTTGCGAGCACGCACACAGCGGAATTGGTGGGTCTTCTGATCTGAAGATTTACTATACTATATTGTATATAGAGGGTTCCAGTATTAATAAGCACAGATTATTAAAGTAATGTAGGGGGTAGGTCACTTTTACTCTTCCTAATGGGCCCTTCTCCCAGGAGGGGAGTTAACACCTGCTCAAGGATTATAAATGAAGGAGTTTAGTTTTTTCCTTTATAAAATGTCACTGCTTTGACTTCCGAAAATATAACTTAAATTGCTGAAATTCTTGTAAGATAGCGATTAAATTGAGTACAGTGAGTTCTGCTATAATGCGTGTTTTGATAACGCGAATTTGCTCTAACGCGATTTATGAATAGAGGAACGATATTTGTATTACGCGAACGCTTGTTTGCTGTAACGCGATTTCTGCTTACTATTTCTCCAATTTTGTGGTATTAACTGTGAATATGGTAAAGAAGAATATCGCCAAGAAGCGTTGTGGTGATCGAATTCCCGGTGATGATCGTAAAAGAAAGGATATAACACTTGAAGAGAAGGTCCATGTTATCAACCTCAAAATCACCCTTCTCCCCCATCAAGTTACATTCATATTTTTTCAAGGTAAAGTGTTACATTTACTGTATGATTTCATTATTAGATATGAATGTAACATTTATTTAGACTGTGCTATCCTTTGTGTTAGGCTAACTACTAATTTTTTTTTTCGATTTCGAGTAGTAATCTGCACCTAACCCTATTTTCTCCATAAGCCCTGTTATTTCTATTACGCGATTTTCTATAACACGATATTTTACAAGAACACAACTATCGCGTTATAGCAGAACTGACTGTATAAACATCCCTTATTTTGCACCATACATACTAATTTTAGCAATTAACTTAGCACATTTTTGAACACACACACACACACACAGGAATTAAGACAACAAGCATCCAGTGAGGGTCTTGTTGTGTGACTGCATGGAGCGAATTAAAAGATCGGCTGTTGAGGAGCTTATCGCCTGGCAACCATGGTGCATGTCACCACTGTTTTTCCACCCACACCTTTCTACTTTCTCACTCCATATTTTAAAATGTTATGTAACATAATGTTGAAGGGATACAAC